CCCCAAAACCCCAAAACCCCAAAACCCCTTAAAGATTGAATAGTGAGCATAAGTAATTTAATGAAAATTTAGATAAATAGTATTAAGATAATGAAGGTATGATGTTTATAAGTCAATACTAAGTCCGCTACATAGCCTTTCATTCCTTTGGAACTACTTTCCATGTGGTGCCATCGAATAAGTGTAAATTGTTTTCCCCAATGGCTGCAACAAGTTTGTTTCCGTCGCTTATGCCTTGGCACATGATAAATCTATCTTGAGTATCGAGATTTTTGCACTCTTTCAGCTTCTCATCAATGGGATCAAATTTGTAGACAATACCGATATTTTCAAAGTTCTGAGTCTTTTTGTTGTATGTTTGACCTCCGAGAATTATAATACGATCCTTGTCCCATTATAGATGTACTGCAACAATATGTGAGCAGAATGGGAATTTTTAATAAGTCTTGAGGTCAACTCTATCCCAGCGGTTGCACTCTACTGAGTATCTTTCAATTGAGTTGAGGCACTTACTATAATGCTCACTCATTTACTATTCCATAAATTTGTCATTCATGCCTCCGAATACAAAAATGAATTCATTGTTCCAGGTACAGCATCCGAAGTAGTATCTGGACTCATTCATCTCAGCCATCATTTGCCACTCAGGCTGTTAGTCTGGATTGAAAGCATCATAGCATGTTTCCACAGATGCTAGCCATTGGTTTTTGCTTGAGTTATATCCTCCAATAACATAGATATCCTTGTTGTTAATATAGACTGCTGCATGCCCCACTCTTCCCAAATTCAACTTAGAATGCAAGTTGAGCATATTCATACATTCATCAACCTAGAAGCATTTTCTACTTGAGCTATATCCACTGTTTCCACCAATAATGAGAAGTCTACCAGTCTCCTTTGTGTTCAATAGTGTTGGCTATTGAGTCAACTTATCATCATCAATATTGACCTTTCTCTTTGATCCTTTGAAGGGTTAATAATAAAATATAGCCTTTTCTCTGACCTCAATAATTTCATGTTAATGCATTTTTATGGCAAGTTACTCCTTTAAGAACTGCTCAAGCTTCCTTTTGCATTCTATTTTATCAAAGACTAGCTCATAATCCTCTGCACTTGTCACAAGCTCATAGAATTCGGTCTTTGACTTTTTGAAAGTCTCGTTTAAGTTCCAAATATATGCCTTGCTCTCAATGATATCATAAAATTCAGATGCGCCAATTTTTTCTTCCATAGCATCGAATAATGGTCGGATTTCAAAGTATTATTTTTCCATTTGATCTTGCTAGTCGAGAAGCTTTGAGAATAGGTTAACCTCTTCTTCTTGATCCTTAGAAAACTTTTCCCAGAACTCATCCTCTATTCTTTTTAACTCATTAAATGTCAATTCAAAGAACTGCTTAGCGGCTATTTCTTTTTTCTCATTAAGATTTTTTCTCAATTCAAGTTTTTCCTTTACGTGTCTAATGGATGACTCTAAATGCTCAACAAGGGATTATAACTTAGAAACCTCGGCTTAAGCGTAGTTTTCTAGCATCTCTATTTTGTGACCTTGATGGTCCTTAAAACAAGCAGCGCAGAGAGAGACTGCGTGATCTAAGCAAAAGTTTACGTACTTCTTCTTGTGTTTATGGCAGAAGTTTCTGTTTCCCTCTGAGAATGCAGTTGAGGTAATGCCAGATTAAGTGGGTGATCCATTTGAGGATGGCTTGTATATACGAGAATTGACTGGTCCGTGAGCCATTGACCTCATTGTCATCTGTTCGAGTTGTTTGTTAAAGTCTTGCATTTTCTTTTCCTATAATATCTCTAGTAAAGTAATGGGAATATTCTCTTCTTATTTAATATTTATTATTTTCAAATATCTTTTAGCATCTATCTAACTGAATTATTACCGTGGGGTTTTGGGGTTTTGGGGTGAAGATCATTTAGATG